CACACCTGAAGCGGATTCACAATCACCAACGTCATCATCATCATCATCATCATCATCGTCATCATGATCATGACCGTTCGCATCGTGGTGCAGGTATGTGCAAATCTTACACTTTTCAGCAAACGCCTTTCAGATGCTTTTGTGCCAGGGCTACCGCCCAGTTATCATGGAATACATTGGTGCCGGCGGCTGAGAAACCTCTGAAAGCATAAGGTGAGACATATGCGAGCAGAAGCATCTAAGATCCTTTGATCAGAGTGTAGCCCCGTTCTGCAACAAGACTCCCATCATCAGTGAAGGAACGTTATTCATTGGTAAAAGGATCCCTGCCCCTGTCACTGCTGAAGGAAAGTCGTCACGTCGCACATAGGGTCCCAAAGCAGGTTTTGCTTTAGGGTAACGTACGAACAAAAAGGCTAGTCCCTAAGCCCATCCAGATTCGGTGTCTGCTAGTGCTAGACGCCCTTCTGCCCCTGAAAAACGGCTTTGCCCACCCTGGCAAACGGCCTTGCCATTGCGCTGATGCTTGTCTTATTGGTTCTTAGTAGGGCATAAGGGACTATAATCCCTACTACATAACCCCCCACATAGTATGCTACCTTATTCTCTACTAGCCCCAGCAAGTTGTAGACGACGTCTTTACACTGAGATTGCGGACTTCGGCGTGCCGCACACACGGCCGATCAGGCCTTGCGCTGTAGGGTTGAAGGGCTCTTGATCAGGGAGACGACAGAACAGCAATCATAGTAGTAATAACAATGATAATGATAGTAATCGTAATAATAATAGTAATAATAGTGATAGTACTGATAGTAGCAACAGTAGTAATTCTAATAACTATACTAATACCAATGGCAATATTAGCAAGAACCACACGGAGAGATTTTTTTCGTACTGATAAGAAAGCACAACGACTTATGGGTTCAGGAACTTGAAAATCTTGGGACGTATTTGAATTCAACCACAGGGCCTTTCAAACCTAAACTCTATACCCCAAACCCCAAATATTAGTGTCCATTTTATTTTTCTTTGTCACAATATAACCCCGCACTTCAGGGAAGATGCCATCGGCTATTGGAGGAGATTACCTAAGCAGACAGCAACCTGCCACCACGACCAATGGAAGCATCTCTTGGATGCGTGCTACGACATGTAGGGCAAGGGATCATAGTGCCATTGATAGTGCGATAGCATTGCAGGCAGTGCTATAGTAGAACAGCAATGATCGTAGCAACTGCAGGGATAATATGGAACGCAGCACAAGTAGGCACAGCGTGGACGGTCAAACAATCAGAACTCGAGGTAAGGGTTTGAAAGAGTCGCATGATGAGAATACTGAATAGCGGTATATTGAGGTAAATGACGATAGTTGCCATCACTATGTTGGTGATGCCATCAGCTGCCTGCGCCGGCAACAGAGCTCAAGTTGATACTTAATTGCATGGGCAGTGCTTGTGTTACGGTCTCAGGGCATGTGTGTTGGCCACCGTAGCTGACTGAGAGCTGAGAGTAAGGGGATTCAGCAACTTGCAAAGCGGTTGGTGAACGTGGTACTGAATTGACGAGTAGATTATCACCGACATGGTTGAAGTATGTTGAAGCACCTTGCCTATCTTCGGCTCGTTGTAGACCAGCTCATGTGACGTTTGGGATGCTTAGGTTGGAAACGCTAGTACAAATACTGCTTTAGTCTTGAGTCGCTGCGCCATGGGTCCGCGTCGGGAGGAGAAAAAACAGCAGGCAGGGCGTGTTTAGTCGGGATTTTTTCAATTTGAGGTTCAAGAACAGAATCCGTTTGGACTGCACATATGGAGCTCATGGTGTTTCCGGACTGTGCCAGACGCAAGCCATCTTGGTGCTGTTGTGTGGTGCAATCTGAAAGACTCGTGGCCCATCAGGTTCAAAAAACATGGCTGGAAGAGTACTACGAAAACCCTGGCTACGGTGGCTTGTTGGCAATGAAGTCGCGAAAGCTAGCCTCCGGGTCTAGCTTGAGTTTCTGAGCAAGCGTTAGCTTGCAACAAGGGGTGTGGGGGATGGGTCCGCCAGGGTAGGCACCTTTTGAGGGTTCTCTCAGCAGGGAGGGATTCGGGCGTTGCGCCGGACCCTAAAAGAACATATGAAGAACACTAAAAGAATATATAAGGAACACTGTATCCTACCCAAAACAACACATAAAGACCACTTAGCTTTTGCTCAAGAAAAGTGCCATTGTAGACCTCCATTGTCTACTTTCGGCCCATGTTTGTGTTTGAGCATACGTGCATATTGTGTCTGCTAGAGTATAGCAGACTCATGGCGAGGACTAGATCAGTTAATGTAGGTAAGATCATATGCAAATACTACTACATACGCATACATTTACAATGCGTGCTATTGGAGTGCCATGCATTTAGGTGTCAATCGCGAGGTTACGTCCTGTAGCCTTCCTCATTCCCAGTAGTTAAAGGACATTGCGACCGCAAGGGGAACATTAGAGGCACTTGCCCCGCTTGCCCCGTTGGCCCCACTTGCCCCACTTGACCGCAGTTGAAAATTCCAGTATCTTTAGCCTCACTTGCCCAAGTCGGGGGGGTCAAGAGAGGCAAGTGGGCAGGGGTTCGTTTTGGGGCCCTCAAGTGGCTTGTCCCACTTGCCCGACTTGCTACACTTGGCCAACTTGCCCCACTTGCCTCACTGACCCCACTTGACCCACTTGCCCGACTTGCCCCACTTGACTCACTTGCCCCACCTGCCCCACTTGACCCACCTGCCCCATGCCCACTTGCCGCACTTCTCTATGGGGGGAGTGGGGTCAAGTGGGCCAAGTGGAGCATGTGGGTCAAGCGGGCCAAATGGAGCAAGTGGGGCAAGCGGGGCAAGTGGGGCAAGTGGGGCAAGTGGCCGCGGATCCCTAATCCCCCCCAACGGCGACACTCTCAAAAAGAAGAGTGCGCATCTGGATTCTGCCAGTTAGATCCTGCTCTTGCTTGTCCCAGTCCCTCTCCCCCAAGTTTCGTCTACTTCAGGGGCAGAGCATGGATTTCCCAGCATCAGCAGAGACTTTGTAAAAGTGCTAGCCGCCAAAGAACTGTGACAAACAGCTGGAGACCATTCCTTCAAACATGCTGTGCCAGGATGTCCTGGTAAGCCGAAGCTTTTTTGCACAACTCGTTGGTTGTGATCGTTTTTGCTATGACGTTGCATCTGAGGCCCTCCTGGTGGCACCGTTTCAAATTTGACCGACCAAGAAATGAGCGATCATGTCGAAATGCTCGTTGAACATCTTGAGGATGATGATCTCAAAAAGCGCATAAAAGCTGCTGAAGCAATGTCTGCATACATTGCCGATGATACATATTTGCCCGACAAGCTGCCCGTTCACCCAGCGCAGGTTTTAGCGACCTTGTTTAACAAATCCATTCCGGACAGGTTGGCTTGCATCAGTGCAGCGCGGTGCTTAAGTATAATGGGCAGGAAGGCTGCTCCTTACGCTTCTGGTGCGCTGACCAAAGTGTTACAGAACAGTGGCAGTGATTTGCGGTATGAGGCATTAGTGGCTCTGGGCTACTTGGGTCCAGGAGCAGCCCCTGAGGCTGCAGCAGCCGTTGCTTTGAGAGCCATGGAAGACGAAGATGCACGCCTACGGCGGCAGGCTTTGCACACTTTGACGATTTTTGGGCCAGATGCTGCTCATGTATCCTCAACTGCAATCGCGAAGGCCTGCCATGATGAAGACACGGACGTGCAAGTTGCAGCAATCAAGTGCATGACCGCTATGGGTCCAGATATTGACTGCAAAGTTGCTGGTCCCTCGCTGGTCAAAGTTCTAGACTCCGGATCGCAAGAGATGCGTCGATTTGCAATGGAGACCGTCGCTGTGATCGGATCAGGAGTGGCGTCCTATGTCAGCAATCCTATTGCACAGCACCTGCGTCCCCTGCCCGGAAGTGATCCGGAGCTGCGGCTGCTGGCCGTAATCGCCTTGGAAGCCTTGGGGCCAGAAATCGTCTATGAACAAGAAGTCCTGCTTGCTAGAGCTGTGCGAGATCCCGAGATAGAAGTCCGAGAACGGGCTTTCCTGACTTTGCGCGATGCTGGATGCGTCAAGGGTATGATGGGCTCGATGATGTTGGAGGAGCGGATATTCTCGCCAGAGGTTCCTGGGTTGCTGCTGAGGAATTTAAAGTAAGTTACCATAATGGGTATATGTGTATATATAGGGTAAATAGTAGCATTTCCTCAATATAGTAACTTAGACTAGATACCTTGACAGCAACCCAGGTTCTTGCAGCTTCGAAGCTGGTCGTGGAAGACAGTAGTTCGGATTCCTCGGGTACCTCAGAAGACTCGGATTCGAGTGCAGAACTCGAAAGCTTCGGAAGCGAAGCTGAGGAAGCAGAAGAGGAGGATCCTGCTGAAAGCAGTCCCAAGAGTGGAGGTGCCGGAGACGAGGCTGGGGCAAAGTTTGGCTTCAGGGTTGAAGGGGTTTAGCAGAATTGTATACTGAGTATGTCAGCGTGGGTCAGCCTCAGCACCCTCACTTGATGCGTGTTGCCATGGTGCTAGGATTGGTAGGTAAAGGTGTCAAAAGAGGGGGGAGCGAGGGCGGACATGGGGGCGCCACAGCGGAAAGCGGCCACATCCTGCTGGATGGTTTTTGTTACAGACGCTGGCGGCGAGTCTGAGATGAAATGCACGCAAACCGACCAACCCGCAAGATTGATTGCAAATGGTAGTACTGTCCATGGAAGTCACCTTGTTTATCCATACAGACGCAAAGATGATACTAGTAGATAGGTGTGACCCTCGAGCCTCAAATCATACATCCCCCGCATACTGGCCAGTAGCGAGAGGAGATCGACAATGAAGAGGCAGAGCGACTCCGGAAGAACCTTTTGAAGAACTGGTCCTGATGCTGGTGCTGCGTGGCAGTAACTGTCACTGAGGTGGTATTTCAGAAGCTGTTTCACCGTGCGTTTCACCTGTGCTTGAGCATCCTGGTCCAAAGGCATTGGTTAATGCGTTTGTTATCACTTTGTTGCTGTTCGGCTGCCTGGCAATGTTCAATTTCTGGCATCTACTCTAGTCGTTCCTCCTCGCTCAAGACCAGCTTTCAGTGTTGGGGTTTTGTGCTGTTTCTTACTATACAAGCAGAGGCCTGCGATTCATTGCAAGACGTAGCTAGGGAGGGTTTCTAGGCTCCTCGTTTTTTGGTATTGTAAGGAAAGCGTTCAACATTCAATGCGATTTGGGCTTAAAAGGCTACTTGGTGCTGTCCTGTTTTGGAAGCAATGGACTGCTCTGAGCCCTTTCTGAAGCACAGAGAGCCATCATAACTAGAAGCTAGCAGCACAACCATAGGCAACAGTGGAAGCTGCTCTTTGTCAGACTTTTCAACCTTCCTGAACAAAGGTGTCACAGAGGTTCAAGACTGAAGCCGGGGGTGACACCCAAGCTGTGTAAGATCTCATGAAGCAGCATTGGGACGTGTTCCATGCTCAGGTGCATTTTTTGATCCCTTATCATTTCTCCAAGGCTGTTCCGCATATCCCTGGCAGAATTAATACTCGCAACGTTGGGGCTGCACATAAATGCAAGCATGCACAGAAGACCTGATCGCAGACCCTCATGCTACCTTAAAACCCAGAGGACTACCAAGCTCTGAGCATTAGTCGCTGGTCGTTGAGCTGTTGAGGCCTAAACCTAGGCGGTGATCTGAGTCGTATAAGCAACAAAGCAGCCGCCGGACATTCGTTCAGAGTCAGATGTTTCTTAATTCTGTCGTCCTTTAGCAAACAGAACCTTGACATTCGGAGCCCATGATGGGTTTTCCCTACAAACACCTCAGCTTGTTTGTGCTTAAGCAGGACCATGCGACCAAAATCCTGAAGAACTTGTTCCTCAACCTGAGCCAAGAAAAGCAAGATCCTGAACGTTGAGCTGCAGAAGAATGTATACCTACCTACATTTCCCAATCCACATACTAGCCCCTAAAATCTCTTTAGCTGTGCCGGCCATGAGTTTTTTCATTTCCTCGCTCAAGCCCTGAGTTTCAGAAGCCACAGCCAGACGAAGGACAACCCTGAAAGCGTGAATTAAATCTCTAAACTCCAGATCCCAGGCGCGTAGCCTGAATCCCTGAATCCCAAACCCTAGGCCCTAAACACCAAGCCCCAACCTTAGGCCTCAAGCCCGGAGCCGTAAACTCTAATCCCTAAAGTTCCCTAGGCGCTGAGGCTTTAAAACCCTATCCCGAAACTTCCCTCAGCCTTTTAACCCCAGCCTCAGACCCTACGTTTCAAACCCTAAAGTTTCCTAAGCTTCCAAACCCTAACCTCTAGAGCTGATGCCCAAAACCTAAACCTCGCCAGGCCTGCCATGACCTTAAACCGTAAACCCAAATCCTGAACCCTGAATTCTGCATGTATAATCTCTAAATAAACCCTGCAAGGTCCTTGTGTAATCCCACCTTCATCCCTGAAACCCTAAACTCTTAAACCTGAACCCTAAACCCCTAAACCCTAAACCGCTACACCACTAAACCACTAGACCCCTACCCGGCCGAAGGGCTCTCAATCTCAACTCGGGCAACTCCTCGGAGATGATCGGTTCCCTTCTTCAGGAGCTGCCCACAGAACGTCCTCCCCGGCCCCAGGTGGATCGTAAGCAGATTGCACGGGATTCCTTTAGGTTCATGTAGGACAGAGGGTTTGGGGTCTTGGATTTGTAGTTTTGGGTCTAGGGCTCGGGGTTTGGGGTTCAGCTAGGCTTCAGGGAAGGATTTTTGGGATATCGTGACTGAATTTCCCAAGATGTACCTCAGGGTTGCGGTTGGGGCAGGTTTTGAGGTTCGTGGGTTCGGGGTTTATTTTGGTCGGCTTTTGTTGTTTGGATTTTTTTCTTTCTCGTAGCGCCGCGCATCTCTCCATGAGCCGTAAATCTTCCAAGCATGCTCTCTGAGCATTGTTCACTTCGTTCTTGCAGTTGCAGTTGCTGTTATCAGCCATGCTGTGTTGTTATTCTGACTGATCATTCTTGCTGTCTTGCTCACCCTCAACTGGTCCTGTAGCCGCTCCTTGGGAATACTCCATAGGGGGAAGCCATCAATTGCATAAACGGCCTGGTGCAGCAATAGCTTGAGGTATAACTTGCGGGGTCGCACACATACAGACACAGAAGAAACTGGAGGGGCGGGATAACTGCCGCAGTTGCATAACTCCTGAGTTCCATTATTCCAAACTTGCAGTTCCTAAACTTCATAGTTAAGTTCCAATAGTCCAAGATTCCATAATGCGTTGTACCAATGGTTGTAAACATGTACACTTTCCAAATTCCGATGCTTTGAACTCCTGAACAGTAACGAAAGTTCGGAATCATCGAATGCTAGAACATTGGAGTTACGGAAGCTGGGATGTTTAAAGTCATAGAATACTCTGCCAGTAGAGGCCCTATTATNNATAATAGGGCCTCTACTGGCAGAGTTATCTTTGAGAATACGCATGCCAATTTTTCCACAACTGTCCGGAGATCAGTCTAGATCAGTCAAGGGGAAGCACTATGAGTGATCTGAAAACCCTAAACCCTGAACCCCATGCCGCGGGATTTGTTCTGAGGGGTGTTGTGGAATAAGTTCTGGCGCGTGATTCGGGATATTAGGCAGGTACATGAGGGGTCATGCTGAGATTGCCAGAAATCCCATTATGAGTTTTACTGTGGTTGAGATTGCAGAAGATTTGAGTTTGTGGGGGAGGAGGGGTACCAGATGTATATGTAGATACATCTGCCTTTCACATATATATATATATATGTACACATCTCTTTACACATACATGAGCACATCCAGGCCCCGGAGTCCTGTGGCCTCCAAATCTCGCGGCTCCTAATCCCATCCGACCCATGCTTAGCTAGGAATTGGGGAGCGGATCCCTGCAGTAGCCCCCACATCATCCCCAGCTAATCCCCATAATCCCCATCATGGTCCCCAGAAACCATTCCCCCATCACGCATCAAGCATGCACCAGACTTTGGAGGCCTGCCCAGCAGCATGAGCTGACGTGAGATGAGCGCCCTTGCACTCAGACCTGACTGATGCTTAGGCAGGAATGGGGGAAGTGCACGCTCAGGCGGGTTCTGGTTGATTATTGTACGTTAGGGCACATTGAAATGTTTTGCTGCAGTTCATTCTTGTAATCTAAACGAATGCCTACAAATGACCAAAGGTGTGTTGGGAAGGGGGTATGGCTTGTGCTAAGGCCTTAGGCATTGCTGAGAGAAGTTCCAGATCCCAGATTTAGGCCATTGCGGTTTGAGTTTGAAGTCAGAGCTTGCCAGGCCAGCGGTCTGTACGAGGTCTGCTCAACAGACTGCGCGTTTTATCGTTTAGGGGTTTGGATTTAAGGTCTAGGCTTTAGGGATGTTGAGGGTTTACGGTTTAGGGGTTCGGGTGCATTTCCTCATTTCCTGGTGTCGCATCGGCGGTCAAGCCTTGAGCAAGAAGGCCGACAACTCCGGTAGTTGACAAATGGTATAGTAGCAAGAAGAATAATATTGGTAGCAGTTCGTGAACCTCAGAGTATGTAGGACTATGTTAGGCTTATATGCCAACACTGGAAAGAACATGGAAACTGCGTACACTGCATTAGTGGACAATCCCACTAGCCACTAGTGAAAAATCCCCCTAGCCACTAGTGGAAAATCCCACTAGCCACTACTGAGGGTTTAGGATTTAGGTTGGTACTTGGTCAGAAGAGGTGTTGCCGAGGCAAGGCGGCTTTGAAAGCTTCTTTGGGTTCCTTGTCATGCAGACATACGATGGCCTTTGCAGTTGTTATCGGGTTTAGGGTTTGGGTCTAGGTGAAGACCCCCGCCCTCTAAGAGTGAATAAAAGAGAAATATCAGGGTACCTTAATTAATCTAATGACCATTACCATTGCCCCTTCTAGACAACATCACTGGGTGCAGGGTCCCTTTCAAGTTATCCCTTGCAATTTGGCATCTAGAACTTAGGATAGCTAAATGCCACCTGCACTGTTGAAGCTTCCAAGGCTTTTCCCTTGAAGTCACCTTCTGAGCTGCTGTACCTACTTGGTATTCATATCCGTACTGCCATGATGACTGCTGTCATTCTTGTTGTTATTGCCTGAGAAACTGGTCACTGTGTGGTTTATGTGCAGATCAGTGTAGCGGTTTGCATATCATAGCTGCTGTACAGATGTTGATAGTAGCATCGTGGTGGACATTCTGGACAAATCTTCATCATTGCTTGGTTGCGTTCCTCACTACCATTGTGCTGCTCCTGTCAATACAGGTCATCGGTCAATTTCTCGTCATCAGCTTGCCGCCATGGCTGTACTTGGAGATCTTCTCCCACTCAGCAGGATGCTGATACATGTCAGCATGGTTTTTCATAAAGGGGTGACAGTCATTAGATTCCCGGGCAAGACACATTCCCCAAAGCTGCAGTTTTAGGATTTCTAATTTTGCTTGCGAGCCCCGATTTTTACAATCAACCTGTACTCACCCTAGGGTTTGAGGCCATGAGAATCCCGTGAGAATCCCAAGAGGGGGTGGCGATAACAAATTTCCGGTGCCAAAAAAACTGAAAGCATCAGGGCTCGCAATTGAAATCAAACCAAACTCCTTTCCCTCCTCCTCCTCCTCCTACTCTCATTACGATAGCTCACATTTGGCTCGTATGTATTTACTGAATACTTCATGACATGCAGGGGTATGGATGGATTGCAGACAGAATAATGCAAGGGCAAAGTGTTTAGGGTAATTAATACATGTCTGTGTTTACTTCGTACCCCACTGCGTCATGCTTTGCCACAATATTCTGCTCCAATCCTTTATAGAGACTGCTCATCCACCGCTGTACCTAAAGCACTGAGATGCGGTCAGCTGCGTTCCTCTTGTTGCGGCGGACTGCTGATTTGTATTCATGTGCGGTGCAATAGGGCGAAGTGACTCACCACCAGCGGCCAACGCCGCTGAATAGGACAGGTAACGATGCATGCGGACGGAAAAAGTCGTCAGGTTGCAGCATAGCCTCAAGGTCATGGAAGAGCCCCTGTCGTCAACATAGACCTTGTAGGAGCCCACAGTCCGCTGAATTTCTGTTGTGGACAGTCTGACATATTGAACAGATCTTTTTCAAGATCTTGTGAACTTCAAGAAGGAAATAGCAGGCTTTGAATGCTTACTTTACGGCTCAGAGGGAGACGTTTCGAACTTAGTGCAGGAAAACCTGTGTTTGCACTACTCTTACATCCTTAAGTAGTTGCAGAGAGGATGTCCTCCAAGAACCTCAGCATGAGAGCTCAGAAAGATTAATGAGTTGGTTGACAATTTTGATGTTCCAGCCCTTCCATAGCTTTGCCTTTTTCGAGTGCCCACGGAAAACATCCCTCGTCAACTTTCATTGTCTTAGGTTCATTCATACGATGCTTACGTCAGAGTTGGAACCTGAGGTCCTGAGGTTTGGGCTTTGCCCAAGAAGAGGAAGCTAGCTTTACCCATGGGCACTGACTACGATGGCTGTGACAACATACGCCACCGCCACGCCCAAAACCACCACCTATTTCTACAACAGACTGCTACCAGAAATTCTGCTACTGCATTCCCTCCACCACCGCCGCAGCTTCCTTCAGTTTGCCTTCGAACTAATATTTGTCTAGGATCTCTGTTGCCCCCGCAGCGGGTCCACGCTCAAGGCTCCGTTCCTTGTCCGAGCCTCGGCCCGTCTGGCTTCGTCCGACGAGCCTTGGCTATGCGAGTGTGTCTGTACCTTCCCCCTTTGCTGCAACATGCTGCAACGATAAAGAAGATAAAGGGCCCCTCTTATAAATCCCACGGTCTTCAAAACGTGAACCTCAATGCGCTTGTCAGGACTTCATGTCCTATGGATGGGGCAACCAATGGGGCAAGGGCGGCTACGACCAGTGGGGCAAGGGTGCCTATGACTCCTGGGGCAAAGGCGGCTACGGCCAGTGGGGCGGCATGCCCATGGGAGGCAGGAAGTCTGAAGCTTGCAATTTCCGAGGGTTGTTGCACGTTTCGGGTAGCCCAAGACACCTGAGTCGTATTTTATTTGGGGATATTATGGTACCCAATATAGAGTAAGATTATATCCTCCTTTTGGGTATAGTATGTTATATAAGGAATATCATCACCTGAGGTTTTGCGTGGAGAAATCATGTTGAACTGGATATAAGCATGGCTCGGTCTAGGAGGCAAGTCGACATAGAGGAGCATTCCGATCCTCCCCCTACATGCCTGCCTGCAAAAGAGCTACATTGCCAGTTTTGGGCTCCACTTCTTTTTGCCATTATCCTGGTCTGACTGCCTCATGCTGTATACATCAAGAAGGTGTAACCTTAAGCCGCAGCCCGAAACTTCTCGAAGGCAGTTTCCGTCCTGACCCCATAATTACTCCCATCATACGACTTCTCAGATGTCATACGCGGCTAGGTCTTGCCTCATCTCAGTCCTTCCATCATTCCATCCTACAGCTGCTCATCAAGGGCCATTGCCAGCGCTGCGACCGTAAACCCTACACCCTCGGGAAGTGCAGGAGTTTCCGGCAAATCCTTGGGTTTGCCCTGAAGCCCCTAAAAGCTTTCGTCCCAACACCCTCTAAGGCCCGCATGCCTACACCTAAGTCGCATGCAGCAAGTGGGAGCACTGGCCAGGGTACATGAGCATGGGCTACGGCATGGATCCGATGGCCATGGGCATGCCGAAAGGCCTCAAGGGTTTCGTAGCAACTGATCATGATTGGCAATATGTCATAAAGTGTAACTGCCAAGCCACCTGTGCACCTTATGACCATGAGGCTGGGGCTGATTTTTTGAGGGTGACAATGATGGTCATACTAATAGTTGTGATGATGTGATCATGTGATGATGACGACGACTATGGCTATGGTCATGACACAGATATTACATTATTCGGTACTTGGGCCTTTCAAGTTCAAATCCTTGGCAATGGATGCTGCAGGCGGCAGCAAGGGCTCCGCCTACCACCAGCTCTCCAGGGGGAAGGCGCTATCATCCAATCTTTTTCTTCCGAAGCGACCACTTCAAAATGAGGAGTACGCTTGGTAATGTTTTAGTAGGATCAACATAGGGATTGACAGCTTCGAGTAAGCTCGGTCTTGGAGGCACAGTTTTGGGAACATTGCCTGTGGAAACATCAGGGCAATGCAAGTCAGATTCTCGCTGCAGGCTTCAGCGATCTTGGTGGGGGCATAGTAGTTCACATACGCACACATAGTAGCAGTCTCAGCATGCGTGGTGTTTGGTTGACATCCCAGTAGTCAGTGCCCATCCCAGGGCTATAGTTTCAACTTGACAGGCGCCCTCTGAGATCGTCTATTTGACAGCATGTGGACTTAGTATCTACCCCTGTACGGCACTAGAAGAAGTTGAACATGAACGATTGCAAGACCAGTGTCACGCGCGACTGTTTGCTTAAACTGAGGCTTGTAGACTCGCTCGCAAGAAGCCGCCGCCATCCCACAGTCCAGTACCCACAGTCCTCCCAATACCTTAAACTCGAAACCCAGACCCGAAAGCCAACAACCCTCAGACCCGCAACACCCTAGGCATATACCTGAACCTGAAAGCCGAAACCCTAAACTTCCTAAACCATGTAGCCACCGGACCTTAACCCAGGCCTGTGTCGAGTTTGCATCCGCCGAAGAGGCGACGATCCCTGGCCTGGGTTTGATTGAGTGCAGAATGCAGGGTTTAGGGTTTGGGGTTCAGGGTTTACATAGGGTCCAGGGTTTAGGGGTTGGGGTCCAGGGTTTGGGGTTTAGGGTCCAGATTTAGGGTTTAGGGTCCAGAGTTTATGGTTTGGGGTCCAGGGTTCAGTCAGGGCTTAGGGTCCAGGGCTTAGCGTTGGGGGCCCAAGGTTCAGGGTTTATGGTTTAGGGATCAGGGAGTGTATGGGGAATATTGTATAAGCTGTCTATGCGGTTCATATCGGGGTTACACTTTCTTAAAGTTTAGGGGAATAATGCATCCAACTAATTGAGAATCAATTGAAAGCTGGAGGTTTATGGGCATAAAAATCGGATAGAAAACAGGTTTTCAACACCTACTGTCTCCCTTCCTAGACGCGCTAAACATCACGGGCCAGAATCTATTAGGGACCCCAAAAGGGCAACAACATATTTACGAGCTACTAAACAATCATTTTCATCATCGTTTTAGTCCTGTACACCCTTCATAAAGAAGTGCTGCAATTATTATTAATGCCAGTATCTCATTCACAATCGCCATACTGCGCGGCCCTGCAACTTTACACCCTGAACCTACCAAAAAGCCCTAAATTCCCATCCTACCCTTAAGCCCTAAACCCTGCTAAGCCCAGGAAGGCGATTAGCACTTTGAACGGGACCTCCCTCGATGGTCGGCAGATAAAGGTCACCGAGTGGGTCGGTGTGCTCCTGAGGGTGCAGAGGTTGAAGGTTTGGCTTGCTAGATTGCTACGCCAAGGTGGTTCTAGTACTTCATCATTTCGGGGGGTGTTTCTTCCTGAAGGGGAGGAGTAGACGCAACAGGTGGGGCGCGGAGGAATGTCACAAGTCGTTTGAGAACCTCCCACACGTCACAGCCCAGGTGGCCAGTCTCCACTGTCCAAGAGAGGTGACGACAAGTGGCTTGGAAGCAGGGCCTCTGTATAATTGAGGGTCTTACTGTTCATGGACAAAATCTTGCACGATCCTACATACCGAAACATTGGGAATGATTGCGGCAGTATATACCTAGGCCGTGGAGAATTTTGTCCATCAGCCGTAGTACGTAGGGAATGAAGGCATCGAATATGGGGAGGTTTCTTTATAGGGGCTAGTCCAAGATCCATTTCCCCATTGGCTATCCCAGATTCTTGGCTTCAAGAGTTCAGGAGAGTCCTCCAGCGGAGCCATAGCAGGGTTAATGTAGAAGCCTGAATTCTGACCATCATCATGTGAAGAATTTTTTCACATGCCCTATGCGAATAGAAGGATTTTGGTAACCCAACCGACAATCATCTGATGGCTTTAAGATCCTAATTTTGGGGTTGGGGATTACCAAACTCCCCTTACCCTAAACCTAAATCGTAGCTTCCTATTCCATGAAGAACCAACCCATAATACGAGAATACTACTCTAAACCCGAAACCCTAAACCCTGAAGCTTAACCCTTTAAGGAGTCTAGGTCCGTTAGGTTGGTGGCAGTTTTCCTTTATAAATTTGTACACAAACGATGTTTGCAGTATCATTTTCCGATTTCTTTTTCCTTTGATATTCCATAATATGAGTAAGAATTGGAACTCCTCCTTGAAGTTGGGAAGTTACCTTCCCCTAATCTAACACGGAACGTGAAAAACCATGTTAGTTTCGGGGAGGTAGGGGTAACGGTGAATTGAGTTTAGGAGTTCGTGCTTGCAAGCGCGTCGTTGCTTACTGGGGTTAGTACGGGGTAAGGGAATACAGTATACAGGGATAGTAATGATAATGTATAGAGATTACATTCCCTTATTCCCTATTAACCCTAAAGCCTAAACCCCAAATGGTAGTTTTGCATTATACCTTATGATACCCCCCCGAAACCTTAGAGGGCGTGTCGCCCTGGCAAATACGTATTTCTTATTTTCTCTATTTCTAAAAACCCAGGCCGCAGCGCGAAACCTCCTGAAACCTTAAACCCTATATTATACTTCCTTATGCCCTACGAACCCCCCAGTAGTTTAAAGCAGGAACAATCTGAATAGACAAGCTCTCGGCATGAGTCATGGAATGTTCCCTGGTGAAGACAACCTCCACCTAGTACTCTTCTTACTACTTTTTTTCGTGTGTTTACTACCACTATTACTTTTTTTAGTGTGTTTACTACTGTTCTACCATGATTATTAACAATATTACTTCAGTATTATTGCTCTTCTTACTATGTATTCCATAAAATCTTGCGAGGCCCTGCAGTCTCAGGGGGAAGGTTTGGGCTCGACAGCGACATGATTTCGGGATCTCAGTCTTCAGGGGCTTGCCCGCATGAGTAGACATGATACTCCCATCAGAGAGCTTTCTGTATACATCTCTGCGCGATTCTCAATCATCAGAATAGTCGTAGTAATGATAGTAGTAACAAAACAGTAGTAATAGCAATACTCGTATCATTAGTATTATAAGGACTCCAAATCAGGACTGGCATTCTGGGACGCCCTGAGCATTACATCCTTCATGCTGAGTAGTGTCGCCTGGGCGTAACTAGGCAATGAACCCACCAGGCACCAGACCCTTCAGACTCCAAACATATGAGCTGTAGTCTCAACTCCTTAATGGGGGATATATAGGGGGTTATATAGAGGACTACTCTAGAAGAAATTAAGGGGGCTACTAAGAGTTTAGACTATAGGTCATGTAGACTCTGAAATTTGCAGGACCTTACAGACTTGACCTTAGACATCTAGACAATTACCCCAATATTACACCCATATTATCCCTATATTACCCTTGAATTTCCCCTATCTTAGAAAACTGAGGTGCAAGGTCTACGTGGCCAACCTGAGACCCGTCATCGCGCATTTTTAAAGGATTTAGGTTATCTGGGGTTTTCCAAAATTAGGGGTACCTTTTTGGGGGCCCGCATAATAAGGACTACAGTATTTTGGGGGTCCATGGTGGGGTCCCCCTATTTAGGGAAACTACCATCCATCCATTGGTTCAAGTCCCCTTCTTGGGGGTGTGCAGAGTAGTGGGCTTAGGGTCTTTTTATGATGATTATGGCGAATGTGTACAGGGTTCCTTCTGGATACTGGCGAGGGATCTGCTGCTGCTGCTGCTGCTGCTGCTGCTATCACTACCACTACTGCTTCTGCAGCTGGCGCCGCTGCAGTTTATAACATGCCGAGCACCCTCAAGACAAATTACCCGCATGGGCGTAATCATGCTCTCCGGTACATTTCTTCAAATATGCTTCCCTTTTCCATCCTGAAGCCCTAAACCCTACTCCCAAACTTCAGAAATTCTGATCCTTGAGAGCCAAGGAACTGGAAGACCCAGGGCTGGAAGCTGAAAGAGCATGCCGAGACGGCGGGGAAAGTGGTCTATGCTAAGGTGCCTTGACTTTGATAGAGGAACAGGGTTGAGGTGTTGAAGGTATAGGTAGTAGGCAGGGTCCGAGGGATCCCTTTTGGGCAATAGAAGACATGGAAGTATGGTTCAGGGTTTCGAGACTAATCGGGTTGTGAAGCTCCGCTGAAGTTTCTTGGGCTGCCTTGCTGAGCTCAGGCGGGCATGTGTTTTCTTTTTGCCTTTTTTTGGAGGCGGACTTGCTTGGCCCAACAGAGTAGAAGATCCGCAGCTCGAAGCTCTAAACGCGACATTGCATAAGTCCTGAAGCCGAATGCAGATGCAGAAGCTTTCCCTGTGAATGTGTTGAAGGCAGGCACAAAAAGTAGCTAAGAGAGGTGGCGCTGGGCGGCGCAGCGCTACACCTCAAACTCCAACCATCTGGATGCGCCCAAGAAGTGAGCGTCCAGTTTTAGCGTATGAGAAGTCCCTATCTGCGGCCTGTGTTTTGAGACTCCTAGTTTTTGGAAAGAACAGGTCATCATGGACAAGGACCCCAATGCGGAGATGATGAGCAAGATGAGCAAGGGTTATGGCAAAGGCTGGGGCGGTGGCTACTGGTGAGAACCAGCGAGGTCCGTGGCCATCCAGTCTCTTGACCCGGCTACTAAGAACTGTAGATGCTTAGGTGGGATATATAGGGGATACATAGGGAGAATGAAAAAATGGAAGCTAGTATTCCTGATTGTTACCTCCCGTTTCTTCATAGGGAATGCCGTAGGGATTTGGATACGTGGGTCCTTGCAAAACTGGGGTTTGATGAAGCGTTTGCATCTTCTGTGGCACGAGCTACTGCAATAACTCCTTGCAGAGGGACTCTTTTGTGAAACGCTTGGAGGTTACGCTGCGCTCTTACTTCATAAGGGGTTTGGTAATGGCAGCTCCCAAAACAAAGACCATGTAAATCTCATGTGACTATCACAGGGTCCTAATTTTGGGTGCCGGGGTTACCAACTTGCCCCCGTAATTGCTGTGTGGCTTTGCGGTAATTGTAGCTCCTAGCGGGTGATGGAGACTATAAAGGGAATATGTAGAGAATTCCTAAGCAGGAACAAGAATAAAGTGCAGTGTTCCCTGGGACATTCCCCAAAAGTAGTTGCAATCTAGGCTACCCTAAGCAGCGCGCTCGAAGCTGCAAAGCTTTCGGGAACTTCAGTGCTGAGGAAGACCAAGATCGTGAAAGCGGGTTTACAGCCGCGTGTTCGACGCTCTTGAGAGGGGCCCTGCCTATGCGCTTCAATGATTAGAGGGATATGACATTCCTTGAGATCACGTCCGCCTATTTGCTTATTTGCAGCCCAGGTGTCTTTTTGCCCTTAGTGATCCTCAGGACTCCACCGCAAGCCCACCCCAACAGTCTTTCAGCAAACATCTGCGTCCTGCATTTATGTTACAAGCTGTCAGTACTGTCAACAATTCTTGGAGCAGGGTGCCCAGTTGATCATGGGGCTCTTATGGAGGCTCCCCAGTCAGAACATTCGCCAAGGTCATGTTCAGCCTGATCTATCGGTTTAGGGTTTAGGGTCTGGGGTTTAGGATACTTGTGAAGACTTCAGTACAGCTCATGGAAGGCTTGTTACAGTTTGGTGGGCCTTTTCTAAGACCCCAATCTCTTGCTGGTGAGTAGTAGTGAAAGGAGGAATGGATAGTAGTCCCTATTTGGTAATTCCCCTGTATAGGGGGTCCCAAATATAGCATAGACCCCAATATACTACAAGTAGTCCTGATTATGGGAAGCCCTACCAAGGTACCCCTTTTTTTGGGAAACCCCTGTATAGTCCTAAGGCTTATGCCCAAAACCCTCAAAAACATTGTGTTTTCATTGTCTTTCTCAAGCCCTGGCCCTGAACCCAAGACCCTTGAATGGTAGCTCTCATTTTCTTTCTCGTTCCCCCATTCCCCACCTAACAGCCCCATTCCCTAAACCCAAGCCCTTCAGTAGCTGCTGTTTTCTATGTTCTTTTCTATTCCTTCATTTGCTACAAGCAGCCAGCAAGTGCTTTGAAGATGGCAGTCTGGGCCGCTGTTAAGGAACTTAATTCAAGTTACTCGTACCATGTTATGGGCATATAGTAAACAATGGAGTTTCTTTGTTGTGAATCCCCTAGCCCTAAACCTAAACCCCAAACCCTAAATCCTATATACCCTAATTATAGCATTTCTTAAAAAAAGCTCTTTAACAGCCACCCAGAGTGGCTCTCTGCAAGCTTTGGGAAGCGCTGGCACCCAAAAAGCTTGCATCTTGCCATCTCGTGCTACCCAGTGCCCTCCTCAACGATCTGAAAGCTGGGTCGCAAAAAAAGAATGCTCCATTATGCTCAATGGAACGACGGGTTGATTTCGAGTGATTCTTCTTTGGGATTCCTGAGTGGGTCGGGAAAGCGCAGCACGCATTGCGCAGCCCCAGATCTAAGATCAACCCCGCACATGCGCACAACCTTTGCGGCAATCTACGCCTTTGGTGGTGCAGCTGTGCGCTAAATCCGCGGAGGTATGTTTGCATCAGAGGTCCAGATTGAATTTTCAGTGCTTCACATGACTTGATGGCTGCTCTCGCAGCTTCTTGGTTCGAGTTGGTGCTTGCTGCATATGGTCTAGACCAAGTGATGTTGCATCTGGGCCCCTGTAGCAACTGATGACTTCGCTCAGAAGCAATTCAACATGACTTCAGTTATGTATTTATCACCTCGCATGCGCCAAAAGAGCAGGGCATCTTTGCATGGAGCATGCCTTGCCCAAGCCAGGGCATAACTGCGTTGGTGGTCAAAATGAGTTTAGGTTTTGGTTGAGAGTTTTTCAGGTCTAGGGTTAAAGGTTCGGGGGCTTAGGGACGTAGAGCGCCCGTCGCGCTCACCGGAGTGAAGTTTCAGGAATCCGCAACGCGAATTGAAGGCCAACATGTAAAGTTTCGTAGGCCGCAAGTTCTTAGCTTCTGGATCCCAAGTACTGCTTGCTCTATCATAATTTTCGCCTTCACATCATCATCTGGGACGTGTTTCTGTATTCCTTGCCATGTCTCTGCAGACATTGGAGCCTGGTGGGCTCTAGCTCACCCTGACTTGAAGATGTTGGACATGAGTCCAAGGGCAGTGTAAAGCCAAGTTGACACGGGCCTGTATGGCGGCCCAAGCAGTAAACTCTGAGCCCACATTGCCAGTACCTTCTGCCATGAACACCAAGTCCTTCACGACTCTGACCTCTCATCCCATGCGCTAAGGTAGCCCTATACGCTTAGGTAGCCCCAAACCTTAGACCCTAAACCCGACCCCAAGTTTTTCGTAACACCGGAGACCTATATGACCCTAAGCCCCAAAACCCGCAACCCTAAGCCCCGAACCCCAACTCCCACACCTCCCTTCAGCCCCTCCGCTTGCAGCAACAAGCCATGGGCGCCCTCTTAGCGATTGGCCTCCTCCTGCCAGCAACCCCCGCCTGGCGCTCGGAGTGCGACATCGAAGGCCTCGACGTCCAGGCCCCCAGCCTTTGGCTTAGTGGTTCTTAGTAGGGAATAAGGGAATTTAGAGGTATAATATAGGGATCACATAGGTAGAATGGAAGAGAAAATGGAAACTACTGTTTAGGGTTTAGGGTTAGTAGGGAATGAAGGAAAATAATTCCTATATAACTCCTCTATACGATATATTCCCTTATGCCCTACTCAGCCCCAGTAAGTTAGGCCCTTGTCCGGGTTGCGCTGGGATGTACAAAGTCTGGAAGCCGTCTACGGTTGCGACAGGCCTTGGGAGCTTCTGAAAACAATCCCAATAGAATCCTTAACGAGAACCCCCAACCCTAAAGCCTAAACTCTAAACCCTATTATATTCCCTATATGCCCCGGAAACCCTCAAGGGCACCAGGTTTGAGAAACTCCATTTTGCAGTCTGCTTGGACTCGATTCTGAAAGGACTCGAATGAGGACCCTAAACAGAGAACCCCAAGAATATAGTCGGAGTAGGATAGTATAGTGGGGGTATGAGGACCCGCATAGGTATATTCTTCTTATATACCTAACATAGCCCTAAAGCCCTAAAGGGTCCTCATTAGAGTCCTTGCAGGTCATGAGGTCATAGGCTTTCTAAGCTGACGTAGGACCTCTACCCTTGTCTTCACGGACCTTTGGGATTTTACAGGTTTGTGTATCATGCTCATTCCAAAATGCCGTTATTCAAGTGCTGTGTGTGGATAGAACAGGATAGTGTGATCTGGTATGTGACATTCCAGACGATTGCAGACATGTTGACTTATCTTCTTTTTGCGGTTGCAGTTTGTTGAGGTTGCTCGTGCTATTTGTACGATTGCATAGCAGCATCGTCACAGAAGCAACTCTAGTCTAGTTATGAAGGTGCGTCTGAACAAGATGCTTAGGATTCAGGACTAGGGTTCAATCTTTCGAGGCTTGAGGACAAGGACTACAATCCCAAAGCCTGCAATCTTCAAAAAGGTTATAGTCCCCTACCCCATGGCGGATCCCTGTGGACTTTGGTTCCCAAACTTTATACAGGTCCACCTGAGCAGGTCAGGTAGCAAGGTGAAGGGTTTAGAGTTTAGGCAGAGCAGACTAATGTTTTCCTAGGATATGGGAGCGTGTCGCAACTGGAGCTATAGTCCTCAAGTGAACACAGGGCTCAACACTGGTCATGGCACCATAGCTGGAAGATAACAACAATTTTCTAGGTGATCTGTACTTTTACGCAAAGGTGTACTTGCTTCCCTTCATTTGGTATATGGGGGTATAGGGGGATATCTTGACATATATGCGGTTTAGGGTTTACCATGTGAGGGGCCGAAGCGCAGGTGCTGATTCATGGCATTGGAGAAAGGTCTGAGCCCGCATCTTGGCATACTTCACCTGGGTTGCTGTTTAGGAACTTAAGTTAAATTACTATGATAAGGATACCCTATGGTTTGGTATATACCCCAAGTATGATGACTTAATTTAAGTTCCTTAACAGCAACCCAGTCACCGCAAAGCTCTCCCTATACAATTCCCAGTAATTCGTAGCTTCCATGTCACTTTCCATTTGATTCTCCATAATTAAGGCAATATCCCTAATTCCTAGACAAACCCTACTTACACAATCCCCAGATGATCCTAATTCTTATATAAACCCTCCATACCCACCAGAAATCCCTACATATAAGTCAATATATTGTCAACCGTACTTGGTTGGGTTATGAGGGATCATCTAGTCTGAAGCCACTGTTGGGCATATGTGGGAAGGATGCACGGGTCAGATCCGGTGCAGGATGTGTCACAACGGAGTTAGGGGGTGAAAGGGCGGGGTGGAGTGTTTTCTTGAGGTGAGCACAGATTAGGCAAGGTTGATCGATAACAAACTCAGCCCTTAGTCATGCGGATTTAGGCATTGGAGCTTCGAGGGACTGTGAGGGAATATATTCTGTTGCACCATACCAAGAGAACAGTTGGTGGATCGTGATAGGCTTTCATAGATCTCTACATGGTAGTTTCCCCAAGTAAGGGGACCCTAATATAGGCCCCTAAATACTACATTCCTTATTATGGGGACCCCCAAAATGGTACCCCCAATTTGGGGAGCAATGTG